ACCACCCTCTGCATGCTCTTTAGGGTCATACACTGAACTAAACAGAATGCAGAGTGCCCAGAATGTGGATATTTAATATTTATTTTCTGTTATTTCTGTTTTAATATCATGGGAATGGACAGAAATAATAAAGCTTTGTCAAAATAAAGAACTCCAGATTTTATATTTATATAAATAAATAACTCTTAATATGTTTGTGTTTTCAAAAATTATAAAACAGCAATATTGATTTCCTGGCATAGTCTAAATAAAACTAGAACTTTCATTCAGTGGCTTAAAAACTTTTAAAGGATGGTTCACACAAAAATGAAAATTTTGTCCTCATTCACTCACCCTCATTTCATTCCAAACCTCATCATTACATCAATATTTCTTTCCTCTGTTCAGCACCAGCATTTTTTAGTGGTTGCTTGTATGAATTGGAACTGGAATGGCGTGTTCAAACCTCAGAAAAAGCACAATAAAAAGTATTCTAAAAATACTACAATAGTACATATGACTCATGCGCTACATTCCAAGTGCTCTGAATCTTTCCCGCCAGTGAGCTGTTCACTTTCATTGACCAGACGTGAATCATTGCCTCAAACGTCAATTTCAAAGCTGCTGTGTATTGGTTAACACATTTCTACATGACATCTACCACATAGATTTGAGTTTATGTGCTTCAGACAAACCCCTGCTGAAAAAAAAAACAATAGAAACCATCACAGAATTTGTAATGATTTTACTGGTTATATTGAGAATTGTACTGGTTTTAATGGAAATGGGCTCTACTGGTGACCTTCTATTGGTGATAAAACTCAAATTCTTGATAAAACCACTAAATCCTAATGGAATATGTCTCAAAACACACTACAGAAAAGCATTTTTAATGGTTAAAAGTTTGTAATGGTATTTGTAGTGGAAAAAAACATTAGAATTTCTGTGATGGTTTCTTTTTTTTTTTTTTCCAGCAGGGACGTTGTTGTCCATAAGATCTTGTTAGCAACTCACGTTTTCAAAGTACACACTGATTTCAAAATGTACGTATGAGGTATGAAATACATGTTGTAAACGAGTTTGAAAGTTTATTTTAGGCTACTCATAAATGAAAAACCTCTATGTTAAAAAAATTATTTATAATTATAATCAAAAATGTATATTATAACCGATCAGCTTTATATTATATGCTTTATTTTTAAAACCATTTTATCATTTTGTGCTATTTTTATTTTATTTTGTGCTATTCAGTATGCATTTAATACATGATGATTTGTAACTGGATTTGTAACTTACAAAATGATTGTAAGAGGAAGGAATAGGAAGGAAGAGGGGATAATAGCTAGATTAAGACTGGGTCATTCAGGGCTGAATGGTTCATTGTTTTTAATAGGTGTACATGTTAGCGGCTTATGTGAATTTTGTGGTGAGAAAGAAACAATTGAGCATGCAATATATACATGTATAAAGTATAGTGAGGATAGGAAGGAACTAATAGCATAAAGGATAAAGGTAAGAAGAATATGGATGTGGGATATTTATTGGGATATGAATTTAATAGTGATAGAACAGGATATAGGATTTTATTTAATTTTTTATATAGCACAGGACTAGATAAAAGAATATAATATAAAAGATCGTGGTTGCTAGGGTGTTGCTATGCGGTTGCTAGGGTACCCGGGGCACTTGCTAAGGTGTTACTATGCGGTTGCTAGGGTGTTGCTATGCGGTTGCTAAGGTTTTGCTATGCAGTTGCTAAGGTACTCAGGGTGGTTGCTATGCATTTGCTAGGGTACCCAGGGTGGTTGCTAAGGTGTTGCTATGCGGTTGCTAAGTTACTTGGGGTGGTTGCTAGGTTTGTTTGGATAGTTGCTAGGGTGTTTGTATGAAGATAGATAGATAGATAGAAATAAATAATCAGATAGATAGATAGATAGATAGATAGATGATAGATAGATAGATTAACAAGTTACTAGCATGTTGCTAGCATGATTAGCAAGTGAGAAGCATGTTGCGCATGTTGTCAGCAAGTGACAAGCATGTTGCTAGCATGATTAACAAGTGACTAGCCTGTTGCTAACATGACTAACATGACTAA